GATTTGGAGGACGTTTTAAACCTGGTGAACTGTTTTAAATGTATATTTATTATCAGTTTGTGTAACTGTGTATTTATTTGTGTTTTGATATTGTTTGAAGCTACCCTGAGTCCCTCTTCGGAAGTCGAGAATAGGATGGGATACAAATGTTCTAAATAAATAAATGCCCAAACATCATCTCCCAAAACTGTTAATTTACTCTCAACTTAAAAATGGGAAATAATGTCGCTGGAGAACAAAAAAGATTAAAAGATGGGTTTAAAGCTAACTTTAAAAATGTGGTATAAGCACAGCAAACTGGGAAGCCCTGTCCCTTGAGCAGTCTAAGTGGAGGTCAGCTGTTACCAACAGTGCTATGGATTTTGAAGAATCGGGAATAAAGGGAGAAAGGAAGAAACGTGCCAAGAGGAAGGTGCATCAAGTAACCCCTTGTCGTGGCTGCCTTCCATCTGGAAAACGATGTCCTCATTATGAAATACTATGCAGATCCAAAATAGGTCTCCAGTCACTTACAGACCCAACTCAAAGACTCTAGCCTTGGAGGGCACTCATAATCAGCCATGAGTGATTGCCTATGATCTATCTTTCATTTTCTATTGATTTCATACTACAAACCTTACTAGAACCATGCACTGCAACACAGCAAAGATCAAGTGCTCAACTTCTTTTTCCAAATGCCAATGGATTAGAGGAGCTTTTTGTTTTTCACATTTAATATCCAATGGAAAGCAACACAAAACATGAAAAAATATTAGATTAAAAGGAAGTCAGGGAAACTCGAAATACTTCAATTGGGAAAACTATCCAAAATCAACCCACCGTTATGAATTCTTCACTTCTGCAACAGAAGCATGCCACTTATTTCTATATGTATACAAACCATCAGAGTTCATCAACTAGAGTAGAAATATATTCCATACTCCATGCCACTCAGAGATCTCTCTTTCAAAAAGACTATTAAATGGGGGGGGGGGGATTCAAAAGCAAGATAGAAAGGGATACATATGGAGAGAGGCCTCCCACTGCTGATGCCCAGGATAAGGGTTGTGAAAAACTCATCAGGACTGGCTCCTGTACCTCTTGGACTTCACCTGTTTGGCCCTGACAGGTGCTTTTTAAACTTTCTGAAAAGTAAGTGGGAATGTTGGAAATATTAGCCGGAGATGACCCAAAGAGGAATTATCAAAAATGGGGGCATTCGGCTTCCTTCATGTCAACCTAGCAACGAATTCTCTTTGGCGAAACCTGGCATTAAAAGATAAGCGCATCTGGGATGTGACTTCAGGGAGACAGGCGAACATCGGCACATCAAATGAGAACACAGAAAGAAGCGTCTTCTCCCCGAAGAGAGATAAAAGGGACCATTTGTAAACAAAAGGGGAAAGCTACAGCTCCCTTCTCCCTGATGAGGGATTTCACCCAAAAGGACTCGAAACTGGAGGGGAAGAAAAGGAGAAGGGGAGGTTGTTTACATAAGGAAGTGTACCGCGCTGCCTTACACAACGGACAAAGCAGAGTTCAGCAGGCAGGCAGGCGGCGAGATGGAGAGAAAGGGATTGAAAAAAAGGAAGCCCACCCATTCCTGTTCAGGAGAGGCTTTGTCTTTCATCTCTGCATCTGGTGACAAATCCACTCCCCACATATTTGACAGTTAACAGCAACCTCACTACCGAAACCCCCCAAAAAAGAAATGCTCCCCATCCCACTGCCAGAACTGAGGGCGCTCCCGAAATTCGCCCCTCTCCATAATGCAGCAATGCAGAGGAAGGCGGGAGGTCATGCAAAAGCACTTAAACTTTGCTGGTCCTCCTTGATGATGCTCAGGGCAAAGGGCCCAACCAGGAGGCACACCCCTCTCAGTTGTGGGGGGGGGGGGAGAAAAAGAGAAGAGCATTCCTGGCCTGTGGCATTAATAATGATAATAATACTACAAGCAGGAAAGAAGCAGGGCCAGCTAATCACCTCCCAACAAAGGATCCCCCATGCAGGAAGCAGCCAGGCTTTGAGGCTGCAAGGCCATTAAATACTAATCAAGGTGGCCAATTGCAACATTCACACTTGCCTCAAGCAGACAAGAGTTCTTTCTCCCACCCTGGACATTCCACAGATATATAAACCTCACTTGCCTAGTTTCCAACTGACCTCACAACCTCTGAGAATGCCTACCATAGATATGGGTGAAACATCATGCTTCTGGAGCATGGCCCTACAGCCCGGAAAACTCACAGCAACCCAAAATGTACCTATACTTTTAGACAAGTGACTATTCACATTTTGTACATTTATTATCATCATCATCTTTGGGGTGTTGTGTAGTTTCTGTGCTATTCTAGAAGCATTTTCTCCTGATGTTCAGCCTGCATCTGTGGCTAACCTTATCAAAAGATTATTGAACCCACTTTTCTCCTCCAGGAAACACAACCCAATATATTGAAAAACATGGCATAGACAAAACATTTTTAAAAAAATTAAAATTGAAATGTTTGCATCCTAAATCAAAAGCGATTTGAGAGACAACAAAACAACTTGTACAATGGCAATTCCATTGCAAACTAAGTCCAACCCACAACAACACTTTTCCTACAAAGGCTTGCGGACAAAGGCAAGGAGGCATGGTCTTTCTTGGGAGGGAGTTCCAAAGTCTGTTGCAGCCACTGAAAAGGCCCTGTGTGTGGAGCAGAGGGGGTGGGGGATATTTCTACAGCAGGCATGGGAAAACTTGGGCCCTCCAGGTATTCTGGACTTAAACTCCCACAATTCCTAACAGCCTCAGGCCCTTTCCTTTTCCACCTCAGCCTGAGGCTGTTAGAAATGGTGGGAGTTGAATTTCAGCTGGGAACTGTTCAGCAGTGGAACTCTCTCTCTGTCCCAGAGTGTGATGGAGGCACCTTCTTTGGAGGCTTTTAAGCAGAAGCTGGATGGCCATCTGTTGGGGCCATTTGGATGCAATTTTCCTGCTTCTTGGCAGAATGGGGTTGGACTGGATGGCCCACGAGGTCTCTTCCAATTCTATGATTCTAAGTCCAAAACAAGGATGGGGGTGGTCTTTACAGCAGGCATGGGAACACTTGGGCCCTCCAGGTGTTTTAGACTTCAAGCCCCACAATTTCTAAAAGCCTCAAGCCCTTTTCCTTTTCTACCTCAGCCTGAGGCTGTTAGAAATTGTGGGAGTTGAAATTCAGCTGAGATCTGTTCAGCAGTGGAACTCTCTCTCTGCCTCAGAGTGTGATGGAGGCTCCTTCTTTGGAGCCTCCACTACAGCTCTGTCTACTTTATCGCACTAGAGCAGGCACAGGCAAATTTGGGCTCTTCAGGTGTTTAGGACTTCAACTCCCACCATTCCTAACAGCCTCAGGTCCTTTCCTTTTCCCCCTCAACCTGAGGCTGTCAGGAATTGTGAGAGTTGAAATTCAGCTGAGAGCTGTTCAGCAGTGGAACTCTCTCTCTGTCCCAGAGTGTGATGGAGGATCTTTTTTTGGAGGCTTTTAAGCAGAGGCTGGATGAGGTACTTGGATGGGTTGATTTTCCTGCTTCTTGGCAGAATGGGATTGGACTGGATGGCCCATGAGGTCTCTTCCAAATCTATCTACTTCATCACACTAGAGCAGGCATGGGCAAACTTGAGCCCGTCAGGTGTTTTGGACTTCAAGCCCCACAATTCCTAAAAGCCTCAAGCCCTTTCCTTTTCCACCTCAGCCTGAGACTGTTAGAAATTGTGGGAGTTGTAATTCAGCTGAGAGCTGTTCAGCAATCGAACTCTCTCTCTGTCCCAGAGTGTGATGGAGGCTCCTTCTTTGGAGGCTTTTAAGCAGAGGCTAGATGGCCATCTGTCAGGGGTACTTTGAATGTGATTTCCCAGCTTCTTGGAAGAATGGGGTTGGACTGGATGGCCCACGAGGTCTCTTCCAACTCTATGATTCTAAGTCCAAAACAAGGATGGGGGAGGTCTTTACAGCAGGCATGGGCAAACTTGGGCCCTCCATGTGTTTTTGACTTCAAGCCCCACCATTCCAAGCAGCTTCAGGCCCCTTCCTTTTCCCCTTCAGCCACTCCCAGTGTTTTGGACTTCAACTCACACAATTCCTAACAGCCTCAGGGCCCTTCTTCTTCCCCCTCAGCTGCTTAAGTGGAAAGAGCCTGAGGCTGTTGGCCCAGGCTTGCTGTATACAGTACATATGAATGGTCTTGAGAAGGAATGGTGAGAGTTGAAGTCCAAAACATCTGGAGTGGCTGAGGGGGGAAAGGAAGGGGTTTGAGGCTGATAGGAATGGTCGGAGTTGAAGTCCAAAATACCTGGGGCGGCTGAGGGGGAAAAGGAAGTGGCCTGAGACAGTTATGGCAGTTGTAGTCCAAAACACCTGGAGTGGCTAAGGGGGGGGAGGAAAGGGGCTGAGGCTGATAGGAATGGTGGGAGTTGAAGTCCCGAACACCTGGAGTGGCTGAGGGCAGGAAAGGAAGGGGTTTGAGGCTGTTAGGAATGGCGGGAGTTGAAGTCCAAAACACCTGGAGCAGCTGAGGGGGGGGGAGAAAGGAGTCTGAGGCTGATAGGAATGGTGGGAGTTGAAGTCCAAAAACACCTGGAGCAGCTGAGGGGGGAAAGGAAGGGGTCTGAGTCTGTTAGGAATGGTGGGAGTTGAAGTCCAAAACACTTGGAGTGGCTGAGGGGGGAAAGGAAGGGGTTTGAGGCTGTTAGGAATAGTGGGAGTTGAAGTCCAAAACATTTGGAGTGGCTGAGGGGGAGAGGAAGGGGCCTGAAGCTGATAGGAATGGTGGGAGCTGAAATCCAAAACACTTGGAGCGGCTGAGGGGGGAAAGGAAGGGCCCTGGGCTGTGAGGAATGGTGGGAGTTGAAGTCCAAAACACCTGGAGCGGCGAAAGGGAAAAAGGAAGGGGCTTGAGGCTGATAGGAATGGTGAGAGTTGAAGTCCGGAACACCTGGAGGGCCCAATGCCCTCTTCCCAGAGCGGTGGCCCTGCCTTTGGGTCTGGAGCGGGACTCACCGCAGTCGGCGCAGAGGATGCGCCCGACGTCCTTCTTGAGGTTCTTGCCGCTGGTGTCGAGCGGCGCGAAGGAGGTGGTGAAGACGAGCGGCTGCTCGGTGGGCTCCAGGAAGAAGATGTAGCGGTGGTTGCGCTTGACGCGGAAGCAGGGCGCCGGCGTGGAGCCCACGCGGATGAGCTGCTCGCGCTGCAGGCCGCCGCTGTTGAGGGGCCACAGGTCCAGCACCTTCACCAGGATGCCCGGCGAAGCCGAGGAGGAGGAGGAAGTGGAGGGAGCGGAGGAAGCGGAGGAGGTGGCCTCCCAGTCGCGGCTCCCGTTGGCGGGGGCGAGGGTGGCGGGGCCGGGGCTGGCGGGCAGGGCGGTGGGCCCTCCGAGGACGGGCGGGGGCGGCGGGGGCGGCGGGGGCAGCGCCTGGACCTTGCCCTCCAGCACCACGGCGGCCGAGTACGCCTGGTCCTGCAAGGCGCGCGGGCTGGGCGAGTAGCAGGCGAGGGAAGCGCCGAGGAGGAGGAGCAGCATGGAGGGCAGGCGCCTCATGCCGAGATCCCCGGGCCCCGCTCCGCCCGCCGCCAAGGCGCCCACCGGCCCCGGCGCTCCCGGCAGCAGCAGCAGGAGGAGATGCAGGCCTGGCGCCGCCTCCACCTCCTCCTCCTCCTCCTCCCTCGCCCCCTCCCTTCCTCCTCTAGCTGTTGCTGCGGCGGAGCCAGGGGAGGCTGATGCTGCGGATGCGGATGCTGCGGGTACTGCCGCTGCTGCTGCTGCTGCTGCACTGAAGCGCCGAGCCCCCCTCGCCCTCCGCCGCCGCCGCCGCCGCCTCCTCGCCCTCCTCCGCCAGTCGGCAGCACCAGACCTGCCGCATCTGGCCAGGCCATTTGGGGGGCGACGCTCCCGCCACCGCCGGTGATGCCGCTGCTGCCGCTGCCGACGAGGCTCCAGCTGCAAAACCGGAAGCGGCGTAAGCCCGGGACCCGCTCCCTCTCCCCGCCCGCGCGCGCACACGGCTTCCCCACGCGGGGGCTGCGGAAGACAGCCTTCCCTCCTTCCCTCCCAATGGCAGGGCCATAAAGGGAATCCCCTCCTCCTCCTCCAGGGACAGCCTCGCCAAGGATCGCCCCCTGGAAGCCCTGTTGGGGGAACCCCCAGCACACTCCTCTCCAACTGGGCTTCCCTCTACTTCATGTCCCGGAGCTAGGCGCCCCCTGGAAAGCCTCTCCCAGTTGCGCCTCCCATCAGAATGGGAAAAAATCCACTTATTTCCCCATACCAAAAAAGGGAAATGCTAAAGACTGCTCAAACTTCCCTACAGTGGTCCTTATTTCTCAGTAAGGTCATGCTCAAGATCCTGCAAGGAAGACTCCAACAATACATGGAGAGAGAGAGTTGCCAGATGTACAAGCTGGGTTTAGAAAAGGCAGAGGAACAAGAGACCACATTGCCAATATCCACTGGATACTGGAGAAAGGCAGGGAGTTTCACAAAAACATCTATTTCTGTTTTATTGACTACTAGCAGTCCCCTGCCACGCATTGCTGTGGCCCACATGGGGGTTCTATGTGGGAGGTTTGGCCCAATTCTCTTGTTGGTGGGGTTCAGAATGCTCTGTGATTGTAGGTGAACTATAAATCCCAGCAACCACAACTCCCAAATGTCAAGATTCTATTTTCCCCAAACTCCACCAGTGTTCACATTTGGGCATATTGAGTATTCGTGTAGAGTTTGGTCCAGATCCATCATTATTTGAGTTCACAGTGATCTCTGAATGTAGGTGAACTACAACTCCCAAACTCAAGGTCAGTGCCCACCAAACCCTTCCAGTATTTTCTGTTGGTCATGGGAGAACTATGTGCCAAGTTTGGTTCAATTCCATCGTTGGTGGGGTTCAGAATGCTCTTTGATTGTAGGTGAACTATAAATCCCAGCAACTACAACTCCCAAATGACAAAATCATTTTTTTGAGTGAATGACATACATTGGATTGTTAGGTGTCTTGTCTCCAAATTTGGTGTCAATTCGTCCAGTGGTTTTTGAGTTCTGTTAATCCCACAAATGAACTTTACATTTCTATTTATTTATATAGATTCTAAAGCCGGTGGATCATAATACATTGTGGCAAGTTCTTGGTGGTATGGGCATACCAAATCACCTTGTCTCTCTCCTGAGAAATCTATATAAGGACCAAGTAGCAACAGTCAGAACAACAAACTGATTCAAGATTGGGAAAGGCGTACAGCAGGGAAAGGTACTCTCACCCAACCTATTCAACTTGTATGCAGAACACATCATGCGATGTCCGGGGCTTGACGAATGCAAGGCTGGGGTGAAAATTACTGGAAGAAACATTAACAACCTTAGATATGCAGATGATACCACTTTGATGGCTGAAAGTGAGGATGAGCTGAGGAGCCTTCTAATCAAAGTGAAAGAAGAAAGCACAAAAGCTGAGCGGCAGCTAAACATAAAAAAACCAAGATTGTGGCCAGTTGTGATTGATAACTGGCAAATAGAGGGAGAAAACTTGAAGGCTGTGACAGACTTTGTATTTCTAGGTGCAAAGATTACTGCAGACACAGACTGCAGCCGGGAAAACAGGAGACGCTTACTTCTTGGGAGGAGAGCAATGTCCAATCTCAATAAAATAGTGAAGAGTAGAGACATCACACTGGCAACAAAGTTCTGCATAGTCAAAGCAATGGTATTCCCCGTAGTACCCTACGGATGTGAGAGTTGGACCATAGGGAAGGCTGGGACCTCTAGAGCAGGCATGGGCCAGCTTGGGCCCTCCAGGTGTTTTGGACTTTAACTCCCACAATTCCTAACAATCTCTGGCCCTTTTCTTCCCCCTCCCCCCCCCCCCCCCCCCCCCCACCCCGCCACTTAAGCTGAAGGACTGAGGGGGAAAAGGAAGGGGCCTGAGACTGTTAGGAATTGTGGGAGTTGAAGTCCAAAACATCTGGAGGGCCCAAATTTGCCCTTACCTGCTCTAGGGAGTGAAGGATGCTTCATTTTATGGGGATGGAAGGTGGGTTGAAGGAGTAAAACCATTTCTCCCTCTTTTATTTTTATTTCCCCCACCCATGTCCCCATTGTGGAAACAACTCTCCTTTATTATATGGGAAGGGGGGGAGGAATAACCAGCAACAATGGAGAAAATGGTTTTCCTCTTTCAACTCCCCCCTCCATAAAATCAAGAGAGGAAATAAAGAACACCATCCAGAAATGGGAATTCCAGACAGCAAACAACCAAGTGCCAGTTAACACCACCAAAAGAATGCCTCCAAGCACAACCAAGCTACCTCTATGCAGATGCCTTCACTGATTGACTTTGCAACTGCAAGGCTACTCGGGGCTAATCATGCTTGCTAATTGCAACACTCACACTTGCTTCAAACAGACCCTGAACATTACAAAGACATATATATGCTCCACTTGCCTCACTATCAACAGAACCTCTGAAGATGCCAGCCACAGATGCAGGTGAAATGTCAGAAGAGAATGCTACTGGAACATGGCCATGCAGCTCGAAAAACTCACAGCAACCGATTACAACCATAAAAGCCTTCAAAAACGCAGTACCCCCATTTCATAACCTATATACCCAAGGTCACACACACACACACACACACATATGTATGTATGTATATATGGACAGTTTAGAAAACCTTGATCTAGTCCACTGCTTCTTGAACTGTGGGTCCTGACCCCAAATGTTAAGTCAGTGTTGGAGTCATGAAAAAATTGGCAACAGTAAAACCTTTCTGAATGCCATCTATCAATTGATCAAATTTTTATTATGGGCATAGACCAGCATAAGAATGCCAGCTAGATATTTACACAATTCTGTTAGCAACAAGATTTACAGCGGACTTGCAGAAATTCAGATGTACTTCATAAAAAGGATGTGTTTTGCAAGGCTTGCAAACGCTGGTATATTATCAACAAATCTTTGATTTTTATAGCTATTTTATATAGATATGCAAGGGTTGCATCAACATTTCTCTTGTAAATCCTGGCCCATCTGACTTGCCACCCTGGGTAGATTGCAACACCAGACCTCTCATGGAAGACTGTTCCGCAGCCTGGGAGCAGTTCTCTCTCAATTCTTCACTAAATATGTCTGTGAAGTTGGGAACATTGAAAGAAAGCTGTCCATCACAGATCTTAAAACTCAAGCTGGCTTGTATAAGGAGCAATGGTTTTTCAAATATTCTGGAGCCAAGTTGTGTAGGGCTTTAAAGGTCAAAGCCAGCACTTTGATATCTGCCTGGAAATGGGCCAGTCACCAATGAAGCTCTTTCAACAAAGAAGAGTCACAGGATTCCTGAATCCAATTGTTTGGAAAAGCCTCAAAATGTAGATCTTTAGATCTGTCACTCAGAATCTGAGCTGCAATAGATGCAGGATTTTACTGTATGGAGGTGGCAAACCAACTTAGAAGCGATACCTGTTACTGGTCTGTCATCTCCCCAAACAGAGCCATGCCCAACTATTGATGGGCAAAATCCACGAAAAGCCCCTGATCGCATCACCAATCCCTAAACTTACCTTATGCAATGAGGTCCAAATGCTTCTGTGACCTCAAGGGGCCTTTCTTACACCCCCTCTCAGTAATAATCAGCTATTTTTAATAATAATAATAATTTTAAAAAATTAAAAATGGGGGGGAAATTTACAAAAAAGCAAAAGAAAAGAAAAGAAAAGAAAAAGCCCTTACCGAAGACACATGTTGGGAATTTCCTTCCCAACATAAAGTCCAGTCATGGGATGAGGAAGTGGCAAAGCGGTATTTTTGCACAGTCACAGGTAGATGCAGTAATGAATCTGATCATCCCAGTAAGTTCCCAGGATAGTTCATTGCATTAGCGGCTTTGTGCAATAATGTCCTACAAGCTGCTTGGCATGTTGCTTTGCACCAGTTAACTTTTAAATGCACACAGTGGGTTCATGGTATCTGCTTAGGTTTGGTTCCAGCAGGACCCCCACGGATGCAGAAATCCATGGATGCTCGAGCCTCATTATATGCAATGGCAGCATAAAATAGCACCCCTTATATAAAATGACAAATAAATAAATAAATAACACTATATTTGTATTTTGCCCTATCTCTCTGAGGGGACCCCCGGGACAGATTCCAGCATATACAGACACGAGGCAAACATTCACAGATAAAGGTAAAGGCGGGGACGAGAGAGGGGCAGTGGCCCCTCAGCTATAGAACACCCTCCCTAGGGATATCAGATCAGCCCCCTCCCTACGAACATTTCGAAAGAGGGTTAAAACCTGGCTTTTTGAGCAGGGATTTGCAGATGCAGTGTAACAGACCCACGGAACGATTGGACAATGCGACGGAAAAATGATTTTAGTGATGAGACGCTGAGGACTTGTGTTTTATGGTTTTCATTGTTCTACTGCTTTTTATATGATCTATATTATATCTTAATGTTTTTAACTACATTTTATGTTGTGAGAGGCATTGATTCCCGACTGTAAACCACCTCGAGTCACCTTCGGGTTGAGAGAGGCGGTATATATGGTAAATAAAATAAAATAAAATAAAGGCTTCCTCTCCAGCTCTGGAGGTGGTGCTCATCTCCATTTCTAAGCCGAAGAGCCTGCATTGTTCATAGATGCCTCCTAGGTCATGTGGCTGGCATGACTGCGTGGAACACTGTTTATCTTCCCACCAAGGCAGTACCTATTGATCTACTCACATTTGCAAGTTTTCGAACTGCTGGGTTGGCAGGAGCTGGGGCTAACAGTGGGAGCTCACCCCACCCTGCAGATTCGAACTGCCAACCTTCCAGTCAGCAAGTTCAACAGTTCAACAGTTTAACCCATTGCACCACCGTGACCCCACATATATAGATTGGCCTTTT